TGTACAAGTGACAACAAAAAAATGCATTTGCAGTTCTCTTGTTTGTGTTGCTTGACACTCAAATGCTTCAAATTTCTATGCACACTCCCAGAAGTGGCTCTTGAATGGAAAAAGAATTTTGTGCCATAAAAGATAAAAAATATTCCTGCTTTGAACTGAAATGGAAAACAGAGAAAGGTGACTCTTAGATGGAAGCGTTCTCCCCCCACTGACTCCAGGTGATTGGCCATTATATAGCTAGTGCCCATTTTTGCTCTGTTAAAAAGTTCATTACCAGGCCGGCCAGGTGGCGCACTGGAGAGTGCGCTGCTTGGGAGCGCGGCGGCGCTCCCGCCGAGGGTTCGGATCCCATGTGGAGACTGGTTCCCGCTCACTGGCTGAGCGCGGTGCCGGCGCACCACCAAGGGTTGCGATCCCGTTGCTGGTCCCCAGTACGGGCGCGACACTGAGGGTTGCGATCCCGTTACCGGTCAGTAAAAAAGACAAAAAGAAAAAAAAAAAAAAAGTTCATTACATCTCGGCCCTATACAGCAATATAGAGTACCCTCTAGTTCCTACTTTCAAGAAACTTACATCTTCATATCTAAATTTCCTATACAGTTTTCATGAAAGGTCGGTGTCCCAGGCAAGCAGAACCTGTTTTCTCAATTTCTGGTTGAGGATAAATGCAGAATTAAAACCAAGGAAAATTTTGAAGCCAACTCAATTTCCCTTGGCAACTGCTGAGCCGTTAAAGAGTAGTGCACGTTTGAAATGCTCACAGCTGTTGCTTTAGAACATTTCACATTTTGTAGAATGGGGATTTTGCTTGCAAATTATGCATGTCTATAAAGACAATTCATTTCAAAGTCATTTCACTTTATATAAAATGGCTGAGCAACTGAAATGAGCAGGTCTTTTTAAATGGAAACATCCTTGCCTATGTGAAAAATTGTTCTCTGGACCAATATTTTCTAAAGGAGGTCCACGCATCTTGGCTATGTGTACTCCAGGGATAGTGCAAGGCAATCCATTTGGGATCTAGGAGAAGAAAATATGAGGATATCTATTTATATATTCTAATCTAAAAAGAAAGGCATTAAGCTCAACTAATATTTTATGTACGGAATGAATGTTCCTGCACTCAGTCCATTGAATGGTCCCTTAACCTAGAGCAGCACAGGAGACATGCTCAGGGAAAAGAGAGTTACCCATTACCAGGGATTGGCAGCAGTGGTCTCACCCAATCAGTTGCTGTCAACATGTAACTTATTGAAGTTTGCTGGGTTCAATAAAGTAGATTTAGTGGTTATATTACCTAGGTTTAATTAAACTAACCCCCACAAAACAGACAAGTGACGTTACAATAGTCCTTTGCAAAGAAACCACAGCAGAACAAATGATAGAACTGACATTGCTGGTGTGTCAAATCTTTGACAGCCACATTTCAAAGTTAAAATGGCAACCTAATAAATCCAACCAAGTTTTGACTAAAAAATAATCAAGATCATTAAGAAGACTATTGGAAATAATTTCCATCCACATAATTTTACCCTAAGTGTACAATGTGATTGAGTTACAAGCTAATGATGGTGGTATATGGATATACTTTATGAGAAAATATGCATATATTTGGAAGAATGTGCCCTCCAAAAATATACTGATGGGAATACATAATCAAAGTTTGGAGACTGCTACTCTAGATAATAAAGGAAAAAATACATTATGGGCATCAGGAAGGCCATTACCAAGTGACAAAACACAGGTCATTGCTATCGTATAAAAATAATTCACTTCCCAAATATCAAAACAGTTTATCATGGGCTGGCCAGTTAGCTCAGTTGGTTAAAGCACAGCTTTATAACACCAAGGTCATAAGTTCGGATCCTAGAACCAGCCAGCTGCCAAAAAAAAGTAAAACAGCTTATGAATCTACTGGCAGGCTGACCATGCAATGAGACTAGAAGACATAAACTATCAAATGGCAGCTGACTGGTTAACTAAGAGAGAGCTAAAATAATAAGCAGAAGCATCATCAGACCAATTATCAACCAGTAAATAGAGGAGGAAAAGACCTATGCTGATATCATCATCAAAGCTAGACCAGCCTAATTTGGTTGGGGTGAGGGGGTATATGAAGGTGATTGTGTACTGAGAGGGAAGAACAGTGAAAAAGCCTGAGGCAATAAATAGCTGCTCTCAGGAAAACAATAAAAGGAGTATGCTAGTGTACACAGGGACCTTTGATGTCATTTCCTTGAGCCACATTTATCCACCAGGAAACACCCTCAGCACTGATGTTTTCTTGGGTCACAATTTAAATATTGTAGTTCTATTTTCTAGATGCGCTTCAAGGGTTGCAGCTTGTTCGTTGCTTTCCATGTGATTAATGTGCATAATTACAGGCTTGAGGGTTAAAATGTTTAGGTGCTGCAGTTCCCTACATAGCAGTTTGAGCTGCAATCCACAAACGATTATCAGAGGACCTTTGTACTGTCCTTAGTGGGAGGCCCTTGTCACTGACGGATCAAGGCACGGAGAGAGGCTTTATATCACTGATGGGGGAGGAGAATTGGAAAAAAAAAAATGAAGAGAAAGTCAGCTTCAAGTGCTCTTTATTTCACACAGGATAAAATACAAAATAATGTACCACAAGCAATAATCTTACTTGTAAAATAGTCAAATTACACAAATGAATGTAAAGCTATACCTAATAATAAGCATAATGAACAAATAATAAAAAAAAGAAAAAACATAATGATGAGAACACAGACTTTGAAATCAGATGTTATCCAGCTCTCACATTCAGGAGCTTGAGCAAATTATTCACCTCTCCCAGCCTTGGTTTTCTCACCTGTAAATAAGCAGACAATTTCTAACTCATAGGATAGTCATCAGGTTTAAATGATGTTATATACTTAGTACAGTGCCCAGCATTTGTTAACTGCTCAATAAATACTAATTATCACAATCATCAATTTTGTTTTGATTTTTAATACTTCTTATCCATCTAAAAACTTTTCTAAGAAATTTTTTTTTTTCCTCAAAATTTTATTCTGGCATACCCCTTTAACAGGAAGAAAACAAGCAGCAGGAAAACTAGAGGCATGCCTTTCAATCCACTTCCATACTAAATTTTAGAATGTGTGTGGGAGCATTCGTTAGCAATAGCAAGAATTTGCATTTTACAATATCCATATACTTCTAAAGTTAAATATCGGTTATTTAACTTAACATCATTTCAGAGCTATATCTTTACCGCTAATTTATCATTTAAAAGAGGCTCAAACTATTTTTGCTCTAAAGTTGCCTATTTCTCTTTCTCACTGTAACTTCTAGAACTGCACTAGGACTAAGGTCCCAGTTTTTAGCCCTAGCCCTGCCTTTAATAATAGTCTAGGCTTGGTGTTATGGATATCTGCTTCCCACCCCTTTTTTCCTTTGAAGACCACACACTCTCTCTCTTCCCAATCCTGGTGGGACTGTTAATCATGGTGCCTCCCTCTTCCCTTTTCCCAGAGAGATGCGTCCAAGACTCGAGGGAGTCAATTGGATTTTCCCCAAGGTTTGCTTTTTGAATGCTGGAAAGGGATGCCTCTCTCCCTCTTGGATCATAAACCATAGAAATGATGTAAGTTGGAACTACTTATGACTATTTCTCTTCCCTTTTTCCATCCTAGAGGAAGCCAATCCTTTGGAAGAAACACATGTAAATGCCAAGTTCCAACAACATTATTGGAACTGCTGGATTCAGCTATGCCTGAAGCTGGTTTCAGTTAGATGACCCAATAAATTCCCTTTTTTCTTTAAGCCACTTTGGAGTTGGATTTCTTAACTTACACTCAAAAGAATCCTGACTGATAATACACAGGCAAGTCACTTAACCTCGCCAAGCTTCAGTTAACTTTTAGACCTGAATCTAGAGTTTTCACATGTAATTTTTATTAACTACATGAAATTTTTAGATGATCTAATCTTAACATGAAAGAAAATCATTTAAAGTGACCTAGGAATTTTTTTCTTTTTTTTTTTTCTAGGAATTTTTTTCTGATGTAATAATTCATCAAGTCAAATTTATCTGTGCTTTTTAAAAAGTTCAGATTCAAAGCAGGTGTTCCTAAGAATTATGCTTACAGAGCTGTTTGTCCCTCTAGAACACAGATACAGGAGGAAAGAACAGTACGGTGACCTACCAAACATGAAAATAAGCCTTATTCTTTAAAAAAAACTGCTGCTGGGCCGGCCTGTGGCTCACTCGGGAAAGTGCGGTGCTGATAACACCTAAGGCCCCGGGTTCGGATCCCATATAGGGATGGCCGGTTTGCTCACTGGCTGAGCGTGGTGCTGACAACACCAAGTCAAAAAGGGTTAAGATCCCCTTACCAGTCATCTTTTGAAAAAAATAAAAATTAAAAAATTAAAAAAACTGCTGCTTTTCAATAGGTTATTTTTATTGTGTCTCTTAAAACACCAAGGCCTTATTTTAGAAAATGCAGCCTATGGTTGAATGTTACATCTAGGTTCTTATCTATCAGAAAGAGTGAACATTGTTTTGAAGATATCAATAAAACTGGATAAAATTTATGAACATAGGGTCAAACACAGCTAAAATATTCTAACGGGACCACATAGTCAAAAGAGTGAAGACTTAAATCTGAGCACACTTATTAAAACAAACGAATAAAGACAATGCATATGTATTAGTCCGTTTTTGTTTTGCTTAAAATGGAATGGCTGAAACTGGGTAATTTATAAAGAAAAGAGGTTTATTTGGCTCACGATTCTGGGACAGCTGCATCTGATGCGCGCCTCAGGCTACTTCTACTCCTGGTAGAAAGCGGCAGGCAGCCAGCGGGTACAGCAGATCACATGGCGAGAGGAAGCAAGAGAGAGAGCAGACGTGCCAGGGTCCTTTTAAACAACCAGTTATTGCAGTAGCTAATAGAGCGAGATCTCACTCACCACCCCCTCTCCCCAGGGAGGACATTAATCTATTCATGAGAGATCCGCCCCCATGACCCAAACAGCTCCCAACACTGTCACATTGGGGATCAGATTTCCACATGAGGTTTGGGGGGACAACACATCCAGACTCTGTCAGCATACAATCTTGTATAGTACTGGTAATAATAACTACAAACATGCATAGCAACTTTGTGCACTTTCATATGCACTATTTAATTTTAGCCTTAACTCTGTATAGACATATTGTTTTCATTTTATAAATAACAAAACTGAGGATCAGGGAGGTTGCCCAAGGTCAGACAGCTAGTAACTAGCAGAACCACAATTTGAACCCTGTTCTTCCAAGAGCCAGGCTTCTTCATACTACACCAAGTTACTTCTGTCTTTAAATCATTATTTGTTAATGATGTCCGTGTAATTGAATGAAAGGTTACTATTTTCTCCATCTTACAGAAGGAGAGACTAATAAGATACAGAGGTTAAATGCCTTGTATGAGGTCATAAAGTAAAGAAAGTAGGAACAATGGTTCAAGGCTTATATCACCATCAACATGAACTCCCATCTATTAAACACTATGAGCCAGGAACTATAGCAGATACTTTACATATATATTATCTTGTTTAATCCTCAAAATAACCCATTGATGTAGGTACTATTATCCCATTTCATAGTTGCAGAAACTAAGATACAGAAAGCTTAAGTTTCTTTTCCAAGCCGTACATCTAGTAAGTGGCAGAGCTTGGGCAGAATTTACAAATAAAATATAGGCACTGAAATTCTAAGCTATTTTACCACTTTTCCCCTTGGAATTCCTCTCTACAATCTGGTTTGTATGTAGTGCTGTGTGGAAAATATAGAAAACATGAAGCCCTTTAAATTCTTTTTCATTGATATTTAAGTCTCTTTCCAAAAACACAAAAGAACCCCCTGTTCTGTCTTTGGTGAGAAGCACATTTTGCTGGTAGAATTAGGTTGTGATGTGAATCCAAATCAATCTTCTTAATGAACAGAAGATTTTGTAAAGAATTTAGGATCAAAGAGCTTTGAAAACAAGGATAGAGGCAGTAGTCATCTCTAGCATTTGAAATGTTCTGTTTGGTATTTCTAAGTCAAGAAATCTTATATTCTCAGATTTAGAAGGTTGATGACCCAGTTAACAAGCAAGTCGACAACTGGAACAAAGTATTTATGAAAAAGTACTTCTGAAAAACAAGCACTGGAAAAGACATATTTGGAAGTATGAAATCCCAGCTGTCTTGACCCCTAAAAGAAAAAAAGTCATAATTAGCTAAAAGACACTGGCTTAATTGGCAAACTGTGGCAAATGATCAACTTCAAGAGGAAGCATCATCTCATTATGATCAGCACATTTCTAAAAGCCTTCTAGACACTTAATATGGAGAACTTTCCAAACTAAATTTTCATTATTTTATTTAATCATTTCCTCATGCATTCATTCCAAATGTTTAAGTACCTACTCTGTGCTCTGGGGAAATTCAAATATGAATAAGACATAATAAGTATTATCACTCTAGTGTATAACAAGATTTTATGACCAAGAGCTAATTATTACAGGAGTGCAGTGCAATACCTTATAACCAGGTGAGGAAAATGGAGAAAAATAGAAAGGGGGAAGAAGAGGAGATGATACTGGTGACACTTCAGAACTCTCATTCCCTCATGGTACATTCTTTGTTGGCTTGTTTGTTTTTTTGTTTCCTTTTGTTTTGTTTTTTAGATAGAGATCTCAGTTGGATTTATTGTGATTCTGGAATCAGGCAACATGGAATAAGTGCTCCCTGCTTATTTGTTTTTTGTTTGTTTAAGGTATTCTTTACTACTGGCCAAGAACTATCCAAAGTGGTTCACCGAGAATATTTATTTTCATTTTACTGAGTGCTTCACCAGTACTAAGTTCTTCCTTCCACTTCTACTCTTCCTCCACCGTAGACCTTCACAGCTGAAAATTAGAATACTCCCTTCCCTCACTCTCTGTGTTCTGAAATATTGAGGCACTGGGTAGAATCCAGGCTACTCTCTCTTAAGTTAGAGCAGCAGAAGCCTACCAGGGACTTAGGGAAGCTGGCATAAGGAAAGCGGGGGAGATTTGTTATTAGAATTCTGGGCAGGGATACACTTAGTCTCTGCAGCAGGGACTAGCAGCAGGATGGGAAAGCACTTAGGCCTTTTGTTTGTTTTGTTTTGTTTTGTTTTTTGGTCTCTGTCCCTTGCTGTAATTGTGCTTCATTCATTCTTCTCTCACTTTCTCTGAGGGCCGGGCTAGCATGTGCAAATGGCAGGTCAAGTTCACATATTTGTGCTGTCTCCTTTTAAGAGAGCAGCCAGAACTTAGAATAGAATTCCTTAGTTTTAATTCAAAGTTCCTGGGAAAGGGACCCTGGCCCAGCTCAGTTCAGGTACCCACACCTGGTCCAATCCACTGTGGTCAGGGTATCAAAGTCATCTTGCACAAAATGAATGCTAGTGCTCTCTGTTGTGTGTTTGGAGGAGAAAAAGAAGAGAAGCAGAAGTAACCCTGAGACTCATCAAATGGTTGTCTACTTACAACATCTTTGATTATTTCCTCAAAATAAATTTATAATAGTAGAATTAAGGGTCTAAGGATATGGATATTTTTAAGTTCTTGATAAAGTTCTGCCATGTTGCCAACACTATTACTCACTTTCTCAACTTGTCTAAATGTATAGACCAAAAATGTGAAACTAATTATAACTCTCATCTCTTTAATTCCAGAGGTAGAATAGTTAAAATATTTTCCATGTATTTAGTAGTCAGTTGTCTTTCTTTTTCTGCAAATTAACTATCATTTTTTGCTGCTTACTATTTATATTATAATTTTAGTGCTTTTGTATTTTATATGAATTTTTTATATGTTGATTGCATAGAAGAGTATACGATATTTCCATTGGGATTTCTTTTATCACTAAGCATAGATTCTTAGAAAGTCTTTCCCTTAAAAATCTCCCTGCAGGGCCGGCCCGTGGCTCACTCGGGAGAGTGCGGTGCTGATAACACCAAGGCCACGGGTTCGGATCCCATATAGGGATGGCCGGTTCGCTCACTGGCTGAGCGTGGTGCTGACAACACCAAGTCAAGGGTTAAGATCCACTTACCGGTCATTTTAAAAAAAAAAAAAAAAAAAATCTCCCTGCAAATCTTTCATACAGTAATACTCTTAAGGTTCACCATGGATATTCACTGCAGAATCTTAATAACAAAGAATAGAAACAGCCTAAATATGTATCAGTTGAGGGATAGTTAAATAAACTATGGCATACCCACTATGAAATACTATGCAACCATTAAATATAAGGAAGACGTATTCTATAATTTTGCTTCCTATATGGAAAAGTGCCTATGATATTAAGTGAGAAAAAAAAAGCAAGTCACAGAATTATAGATAAAGAAGTATCCTATTTATATTAGGAAAAACCTAATGTGTGAAAATACATACGGCAGTCCCTTCTTATCTGCAGTTTCTTTTTCTGCAGTTTCAGTTATTCATGGTCAACTGCAGTCAGAAAATATTAAATGCAAAATTTCAGAAATAAAAATTCATACGTTTTAAATTGCACACCATTCTGAATAGCATGATGAGATCTCATGCTATCAGTTCTGTCTCACCCAGGACACAAATCATCCTTTTGTCCAGCATCCCCATGCTGGAGACGCCACCCGCCCATTAGTCACTTAGTAATCATCTGGGTTATCAAATTGACTGTGGTAGTATCACAGTGCTTGTTCAAGTAAACCTTATTTTACTTGATAATGACCCCAAAGCACAAGGATATTGATGCTGACAATTTGGATATGCCAGAGAGAAGCCAGAAAGTGCTTTCTTTTTTTTTTTTTTTTTTTTTTTAAAGATGACCGGTAAGGGGATCTTAACCCTTGACTTGGTGTTGTCAGCACCACGCTCTCCCAAGTGAGCTAACCGACCATCCCTGTATAGGGATCCGAACCCTTGGCCTTGGTGTTATCAGCACGACAGTCTCCCAAGTGAGCCACGGGCCGGCCCTGAAGGTGCTTTTTTAAAAGTGAAAAGATGAAAGTTCTCTACTTAATAAGGAAAGAGGGGAAAAAAATCATATGCCGAAGTTTGCTAAGATCTACAGTAAGAACAAACCTTTTAACCATGAAATTTTGAGGAAGGAAAAATAAATTTGTGCATAGTGTATACAGGGTTGGTACTGTCCATGGTTTCAGGCATTCACTGGGGTCCTGGAATGTATCACCCACAGATAAGGGGGAACTACTATATAGATATATACATACACCTTTAATACCTAGAAAAGGTCTGGAAGTATCTACATGGAACTGTTAAAAATGAGTGCCTTTGGGCACCATTGGAGGTGGATGGTAAAGATTATATTATATACTTAGTTATTGCTTTAATTTTTGCAAGGGATATGTACTACCTTTATATTTTATTTCATGAAACATTTTAGACTTATTAAGAGCCACAACGAATAATATAACAAATACCTGTGTACCCACCACACAGTTCTAGAAATAAAACATGACCAACACAGTGGAAGTCTCTTGTGTAACCTTCTCCTATCACATTCCCTTCTTTCCTAGAGGTAACACAACCCTGAATCTGGTGCTTTTATTCCCATGATGTCATACTTTTACTAAATATGTATATATTCCTAAACAGCATGTGATACTTTTTTCATAATTTAGGATTGTATTTAATTGGTATTACACTGCATGTTATCTTCTGTAACTTAATTTTTTTAATTTAATTTAATTTTTTTTTTTGTCCTTTTTGAGACCGGCCGCACCGCGCTCAGCCAGTGAGCGCTGTGAGCGCACCAGTCATCCCTATATGGGATCCAAACCCGGGGCGGGAGCACCGCCGCGCTCCCAGCGCCACACTCTCCCGAGTGCGCCACGGGCTCAGCCCTGTAACTTAATTTTTCACTCAACATTGTGCTTTTTTTTTTTTTCCTTTTTGTCTTTTTTACTGACCGGTAACGGGATCGCAACCCTCAGTGTTGCGCCCGCACCACGCTCAGCCAGTGAGCGGGAACCGGTCTCCACATGGGATCCGAACCCTCAGTGGGAGCGCCTCCACGCTCCCAAGCGGCGCACTCTCCAGTGCGCCACCGGGCCGGCCCAACATTGTGTTTTTAATTTAACCATGTTGATATGGACACTTTAGATCATTCACTTTCACTGCTATATAGCATTCTATTTATAAATGTTCTGCAGTTAATTCATCCTCTTGTTTGTGTGATTTAGATTATTTCCAGCATTTTACCATGTTGAACAGTGGTGCTATTAACATTCCTGGGCACATCTCCTTGTGTATTGCAGTTTCTCTAGTGTGCGTATGTAAAAGTGGAACCAGGTTGCAGAGTATGTGCTGCTTCAACTTCATATGATATGGGCAAGTGGCTTTCTTAAATGATTGCACCAATTTACAATCCTACAAGCAATATATAAGTGATTCTATTGCTCTAAAATAGTTCTTATCCATCCAGAAAGTAGACATTTATCTACAGTATCTCCTAATTTTTCTTGCCACTAAACTCTAATCAAGAGTAAGTTAATTTTGGTGTGTGGTGTGAGATAAGAACCTAAACTGATTTTTCATAAATAACTAATTTTCCCACCATCATTTATAGACAAAGCAAGTCCTTCTTTATTACACACTTTTACATCTTTTTCTTATTCTCACCTGATAATTCATCTAGTTAAATTTCAGTATCATTTTGTGCAGTAATAACCCATTGGGATTTTACTGTAATTGCATTAGGCCCATGAATTATTTTGGTCCAAAACACACATTCAGTGGATTGTTCTGTTATTCACAAACTTAAATAGCCAAACCCCTCACTGCATAAAATCCAGTGCCCTCAGCTTGTGATTGAAGCCCCCCACCACCACCACAATCATGTTTTGGTCTCATTATTTCAAGCAAGCCAATGTCCTTCTTTTCCCCTGAGCTTTCATTATTGATTTTTTCTCCTCCAAAGTTTTGCTTATGAGGTTCCCTCCCACCAGTAGAAGGAGGTTGAACCCTCCTTCTACACCCTCTCACTTGTTTATTCAAACCTTTTCCCTCCTTCAAAGGCTGGCTGGGGTCGCAGCTATTCTGAGAGTCCTAGTCAGGAATTACCTCACCAACTCGCATTATTATTCAATTTTCCCACATGTTTGTCTTCAGTCTCTCTGATCCTCTGATGAAGTTGAAGTAAAATAAGAAAAGACAGACAAGTGGAATTGCCTGGAGA